GCACCCTTCCCCAGCTCACGCCCAAGGCCAGGTGGGGAAGGGGGAAGTCCCGTATGGCCAGAGTGAGGAAGACAAAGTCCGAGCTTGACTGACAGGTGCCGTACTGAGGGTGCTGAGGGAGTCCCCCGGAAGTGCTGAGCAGCTGCACTACGGTCACGGCCCTGATGACAGAGGTGACAGCTCCTCCCAAAGCGCAGGGCTGTCACAGTGCAGCCGACCATCCACACCGTGCGGGAGGAGAGAATCTGCACAGACACCTGGGCAGTGGCCAGTGGTCCAGCCAGCTGGTCAGGGGTCTGGAAGGTCAGAGGCAGGAGGAGGCCTGGGGTAGAGGTACATGGATGGACGTGTGGGAGCAAGCAGCACGTGTGAAGATGTTGGCACCACGTCAGTGCCCAGCTAGACAGCACCCACCGTGGCGGAGGCACCGAACAGCCGAGTGTACAAAATGACTCACTCGTTGATGGCAGCCGGCCTTTTTCACCAGCCACTGGAGACTGGCAAGACGGGCACATGAACGGAGCAGCCAGAGTGGCAGAGCAGGAGGCTACGCATGGGGCCAGGAACATGGATGCCCAGTCACCGAGGATGACCCAGCAAGGGCTACTTCTGAGTCTCCAGCCAGTCGGCAACCGAGACCAACACTGACCCCAACACAGGGCCCTGCCTGGAGCAGACCAACCACCTGCTCGGTAGCAAGGTGGCTACGTGAAGCCCCTCACATCTTGGAAGGGCCGGCAGTGCATCCTCACAAGGACAGACACCTGTCTGGGCATGGCTCTGCCTTTCCTGTCCACAGCGCCTCAGCTGGGACCACCGAGTGAGGGCTTTACACAGGCACAGAAACCCACACACACAGCGTCCAGCACAAGACCTACCTCGCAGCTCAGAGGGTGCAGGGCTGGGACCACGACTACGGGATCCACTGGTTTTATCACGTGTCCCACCACCCAGAGGCAGCCGGCCTCGCAGGGATGCGGGAAGGCGAACCGAAGGTGAAGGTGTCGTTGAAGCTCTGAGGCCATGCTGTGCCAGGCTGCGGGGGCACCCTCCAGCCGCAGCACGTGCCTTAGAGCAGAGACCTCTCTACGGCACCGTGTCGCCCACAGATAGAGCACGTGGACCTAGGAACCAAGGAACAGAAGCCCAAGTGCCCCTTTTAACATCATTCTAATGACTCAGGGGACTTTGCTTCCTATCTCTGCAGCTCTGCAAAGAGAGAAGTCTGGGTCCCCAGAGGAGGCACACTCTTGCCAAGGGACACGGCCAGAGTCCTACCGAACTACAAGCTACAGTTGCCACCTGGACACTTCTGACCCCATGTCCAGGGCCCAACAGGTGAGAAGGGGTGTCACCATCTCGGTGGGGAGTCGTCCCTGACCAGCAGCAGGAGGTAGGGCGCTTTCATACAATGGGGACAAGGAAGAAGGGGACGTGTGGCACCCAGAGATCCACGTGGTTCCTCCCTCCCAGATGGCCCAGGTGACTGTAGACCCTGCAACCTTGACCTGAGAAGGGTGTGATTATCAAGGGCTCGGGGTCCTCGGGATAAGGTTTGGGCCACACCACCAGGCAAACCACCTGAATTTAGAATGGACGCTCTGGAGGAGAAACAACGAGCACCCACTGGCCCCGAGACCAGCTGCAGCAACCGGAGCTTACAGGTAATCCCATCCCCCCTCTTCTAAGTCTCCCCTCAGGATGAGAGGCTCAAGGAGCTGTGGGGAGCTGCTCCCTAAACATGGCAGCAACATGGATCTGTGTGGAGGGGTCTACAGGGGGTATGCAGTGGCCATGGAGGTGACACCCAGCTCTCCCTCCAGAGGACCCTCGGCCGAGGCACCCTTGGCTGACAGCCCCGGAGCCTTCCTCTCGGGTCTCCCGCTGCATCTGCACTAAGGACACACTTTCCCGGGGCTGTCCCCAGGCAATGGCAGAACACGTGGGGCCCAGAGCACGCCGGTCCCTGCCTTGTGTGGCACTCCTCCGGCTGAGGACTTGGCCTCGTAACTCCCCACTGGTCTGGCCGAGACCTTCTGGGCACTACGCTAGCCCGAGGCTTTTCCTCCCCAGCCCCTCCCTCCCGCCAGCCTTCCACAGGTGTAGGACCTGGGCCGTGGCCAGAGGCTGTCCCCGCCACTCCTGCCCATTCCCCCGTCATCCCTCACGGACGTTCCATCTCTTGCACATCTAATCCTGTCTTAGCATCTACCTCCGGAGGACCCCAGCTGACGTGGCTGTGGCAGCCAAGGGGAGCCTCGAAGTTGCCGCGTCTTTATATGAAGGAGAGACAGGAACTGAGTAGTCCCTGGGGTGCTGGCAGCTCAGCCCGAAAATGATGCCATTTTTCATTAATAAGGGTCAGTTCGGGCGAAATTCGCAGACTGGCGAGACGTGGGCAGAGACTGTGACGAAGGAACTGCACTTGGACCGGCCACAGGAGTTCCCTCCGGACCCTCTACGCGTCTCTCCTGTAAGGACTCTGCTGTGCACTTCCACAAACATTCCGTCATCGACAATGACGTTTTTGCTTTTTGCACCTCACACGCCGGCCCTAAATTAATTTTTTGTTTTTTTTTAAAAAAAGAAATCATGAGAACAAATGTGGATCTCCCTAACAGCCTAGTGTAAGGCGCCGTCTGTGTTGTCACCTCGCCCGTGGTGGGAACAGAAGGCTAATAGAACACGAGGCAGGGGACTTGGCAATCTCACGGGGCCCTGCGACCAGTCATTTTGTGAATCTGAATTTAAAAGCGGAAGGAGAGACTAGGGTTAAAAAAATAAATCAATAAAATGAGGATGTAGTAAGAGTAAGCCAGAAGGGAGCTCTTTCACGTCAGGCCTCAGCAGCTCCCCGAATCAGAAATCTGACCGGGCGTATCAACCCAACAACCTTGTTTTCTCCTCACGTCTCAGCCCCTCGTCCCAGCCCAGGGCTGTTACGTCACAGCGCCATGAGACTTGAGCCAAGAACGAAGAGGGCTGAGTCATGCCTGCCCAGGTACACGGCCAGCGTCTGCTCCACGGGGCTGGCTCTTGGCTTCTGTAATCAGTGTTTTTGTCTTGTTCGGGTAACTTGAAAATTTTACTAACGGATGCTGATAATCGCAGTCTGTAGTAAGTGTTAACCAGGCTTTCCTTAATTACCAAAGGGAAGTCCTTTTCCTGTAGGAGATTTAGGCACCCATCAGAGACACGCATCTGAATCTGCAGAGTAACAAGAATACTCGCCCTCCCCTCCCCGCCTCCGCCTGAGTCCAGCCTCTGAAAACGGCCCTGGCATCTCGGACCCTGGCTGCGGGGGTCAGGGCGGTCAGCAGCTGCCCATCCACATGCAGGGCGGGGCTTCCATTCCCACAGCCGCTCGGAATGGGCTTTCGGATAAACAGCCTGGTGCTGCAGGCCCTCTGAGAGATGGCTGGACACGAGGGCCTGCGTGACCTGACCACAGGGAAGAATGCGGGGGCGGGCAGGGGCTGAGGGAAATGGGGGTGAGGCTGGCACAGGTGAATTCCAGGAACTCGTACTGGTCACAAAGCTGCTCCTGCAGCTTCCCTTCCTTCTTTGCTTCTCTCCCCCCTTCCTGACTTCCTTCTTTTCCTCCCCGCCTTGTTCTAGAAAGAATAATCTACAGGAGGACAAAAAGCACAGTGAGATTAAGTTAATTAAAAGCGAGCTGTTTATCAGTTAGGACTCTTGCATTACAAGAGACAGAAATCTGACTCTTAAGATGGGACTGGCTTCCAGGGAGGAGAAGAGGAACTGGTCTTAGCATGATGGGGACCAAAACATCCATGTCTTCCTCGTCTCTACTTCTGAGGGCTGTACTCAATCTCTCAGGCTCCTGTCACTCAAGTGGGGGCAGCTCCCGGAGGTAGCCTTCCAGCCTTGGGCTCATTATGGAAAGGGCTCTGTCAGCTCCAGTCAGAATCCTAGGGAAGGGCTCTGATTGGCCGCCCGGGACCACACCCCCGAGTGAGGGTGGTTATGATTGGCTGGGCTGGTGGGCGGGAACCACGACACTGCTCAGAGGGGAGGGCCGCCCTTCCTAGTGGAGGAGGCTAAGCTCCCCAAAGAGGGAGACAAAGCACCCGATGTGTGGGTTACAGTTCCGGCGACCCGTGAAAGAGCCACGAGGATCAGCTCCTGGGCCCACAGGAACAAACCAACCAAAAGTTCAGCAGAAAGACAACTGCTCTCGGTTTTAAGACCCAAAGAGCAATTTCTCTCTGGGGATCTTAACATATGTCTGTTTCCCATTTTAAACGATCAAATCCCCGAGCTGGCTGGCCATACCCGGCCCTGGCCCTAATACTACGGAATCCCCTATGATGGGGTTTCAGACACAGTTCTAGGGAGAAAGAGTTCTCTCCACCACGGTCTCCTGCCCTCCTTGGAACCCCACCTGAATAATCCTCTACCCCGCACCCTCTCCCTCTCGGGTCCCTAATCCAAAAGTCACCACACGTTCCAAAATTCCATGTGATTCCTCTTCCGCCCTAATAAAAACCCGTCTTTCCATCTGGTCCTTAAGCAGCACCTCATTTGCAGCCTTCTAGCTCAGTCCCCTGTCATTCGATAATCTAAAAGTCCCTGCAGAAAGGCTCTTAGAGGATCAATAACCCTAAACCCACATTTGCATCGCAGACAACATAATCTCTCTTCAGCAAAGGTTTGGTGTAGATGTTATGTACACAAAAAGGACATAAGGGGAAGCGTGTTGGCAACGCCCCCACCCCACCCCCCGCCGACACATCCCGGGAGGAGGAGCTCAGACAGGCTTCCAGCCCACACAGCTGGGAAGCCGGCTCGCTGCCAGCTCTGTGGGAAGCAGTCGCGCTCTCCTGCCTGGCAGTCCTGGGGGACAGGCTGTTCTCCAAGGCTGTCCTGCACAGCCACGCACCTTCTGGTGGGTGACAGGCAGGCACGGAGCCTGCGATCTTCTTGGCAGGAAAGACAGAGCGAAGGGTGCAGCTGTTTTGTCTCTTCCCCTGCAGGACAAGGATGGGAGGAAGGGTCAGTGCAGGGGATCTCAAGCTTCACATGTGCACGTGGTCTGCCCCAGATGCCCAACCAGGGCTGGGGGAGGAGCCTGGGAGGCTCCCGGGGGCTCTGAGCAAGTGCCTGAGGGCCACTCCATGAAATGCACTGCTCCAGTCTTTGGGCCTGCAGAACCTCGGAACGGCACTTCTAGGAAATTCGCTCTCCTCTGGGCTGAGTGTCTCCTCTGAGTGCAGGCTGGATGGAATTCAGAGGGCCACAGGGCATGTGCCCAGGAAATTATGGACTTTTTTTTATTTTGCAATATTCCGGAAGAATTCTGGAAAGCAAACAGCGCTGACCATGCCACTGCTGTGTGCTCTGCTTTTGGGACTGACAATGAAGCAGGGGACTAGCGTTTACTGAGCATCTCCCAGGTGAAGGTGCTTCCACACCCCCAGACGCTCTCGTCCCCGTGTTTACAGGGCTGTGTAACCTGCCTGCAGTGACACCGCCAGGGAGTGGCAGAGACGGGTCTGATCCCAGAGCCCACGTTCCTGCCACCACACTTCTCTAAATAAGACAGAAGACTCCAGCAGCCGTGAAAAATTAATAAAAACAAACTATATAAAAAGGGGGGGGGCAAATCCCGCGTGAAAAAAAAAAGGCAAGATAAACAAAGTCAAAAGACAGACTGGGAAGAAATGTTTGTGACCCCGGCAAACATCTTTCCACTATATAAAGAACTCCCATGAGTAGATAAGAAAGGACCTACCACCCAATAGGACAATGAGCCGAAGCACCAGCAGATTCTGCACCGGGGGGTAACCGGGAAGGAAATGCCAATGAGAGCACACGGATCGCCTCTGAGGACAAGCCACCTGTCTACTGAAACCCATCAGGGTCGTACGCTTTGCTCCAGCAATTCCATATCTCAGTGTGCGTCCTTCCAAACACGGCAAAATGTGTGAGGTGACAAGCATGAGCGTGCCAGCACTGGAAGCCACCAAAATTTCCATTCATAGGGGACAGTTAAGTAGATGTAATGTAATAAATCATACATCATAATGCATTACGCAGTGTTTCTAAAATGGAATACTATGCAGCCATTCCCAAGAACAAAGCAGCTTTCCATAAGCTAGTATGAACAACCTTCGAGACATATTGACGAGCTGAAAAGGTACAGCACGTCACCTACAGCACACTTCTGTTTGTACGGGCAAATGTCCCCATGGGCGCCACCCTCCCACTCCTGTTTGAGGCTCTCACAGCTCTCATCTCCCCTCAAACCCACGCCTCTACTCCATCAGCTGGTAGCATTGCTTCCTAGTCACCGGAAAAGGACCCCCACACTCCTGGCCTGCATCTGTCCGTGCCCGCTCCTTCCCGTCCCACGGCCCATCTGAGGCCGGCCCCTCTACTGGTGCATCTCACCCCCTTTGCCTGTGTCCCAAGCAAGGGCTCACTGCGTGACACACGTAAGAGCAGAGGCAAGCGACCTCACAAACATACCGCCGGTCAGCAGGACACCTGCAGACAGGCTGAGAAATCCGTCTCTCACGGGGAGTGGTTAGAACGACACTGTTCCTGGTGAACAGCTTACATCCGTTTCTTAAACCTACGAAGATGAAGAGACTTGGCACCAGGGGGTCTATGGAGACGCAGGCCCTTCCTGAAGCTCCCCTCGAAATGGCTGCTGTCCCGTGCCCCAACCACGAGTCAGGGACCAGCGTGAGCCCGGAGTCCGGGCCAGTTCCCTATCAGCAGGGACCACCCCCAACCCTGCACGACACACAGGTGCCTTGGTTGCCCAGAAAAACTGCTGCACCCATCCCCACAGGACGCGGGCAACCTCTTGTGTCATGGAGGAATGAGCTATAAGGACAGGAAGATGTTCTCTCGGGCTGGTCAAAGAACCACGAACTTTGCCATGATGCTGTATTTTTCCACCTAAAAGGAAAAAACCTACAATGAGTGGGGATAGGAAAAAACAAGGCAAGGCCTTTTGCTCAGTGGTGCTCTGGGAGTGTGTGTTGCAATGACCTAAAGTGACTTTGCGCAAGCCCATGCACAGAGTTTTACTTGGAATGTTCCTCCCCATCCTCTCCCAAGACCTCATGCAACTCTCAGGAGTTATATTTAGGAACGTTTTACAAAATACCTTTTGACCCACATGGCATAAAGAAGGTTGTCAAAAGCCACCATGTCCTTGAGAGCCTCCTTGCGTGTCCCAAGTCCTTGAGCCGAGCCTCTTGTGGGCTCTGTCTGTGCACCAAATGGGCCTTTATTGATTATGGTGTGACGTGCTAAGGTACAGGGACAGGGATAGATGCTGGCAAGGGTGTGCATGGGTTTGACTCTGGGTGTGGCCAGGCCCTTCTGGGTGGGACACGGCTTCCCCTGAGAGTCAGGATGAAAACTGCCTCTGCGATGGGGCTGGCAGTCACCAGGTCTAAGTCTGTACACACCCGAAAATCCAGGACACCACCTGGCCCTCCACTCTCCAAACGCTGCCAATCCCAAGGGAGCCTAAATATACTGTTTCTGAAGTCTTGTTGAGAAGCCATAACTGGCATTCTAGAGGCCAGGCCTGGACATCAGCTACAAGTCACTTGTACGAATGGTGACAACGGCCCTGGTGATCCAGAGCTTCGGACGCGCCCTCCCATCCAGGTCGTACTCAGATCTGTGGTATGCTGTCTGAACTCTGGTACCAGCATCAACACCAAAGTGATTTTATTTGCGCGAAGCTATCACAGTGAACTTGCATTATTGGATCATGTCCTGAATGGACAGGGGGAAACCCGTCCCGAGCCACATTCAGGTAGGGGTGGCATTTCACACCTCCTAGGGTTAATCTGTGTGCTCAGTGTGGTCAAAGCTCAGAACTAAGTCGAAAACCGACACGCACAGACCTCTAGTCAAAGTCTGTAGCTTAGGGAGCCAGAATCCTCCACCCCATGGCGAGGTAATGTCAGATCACCAGGACAAAAGTCACATGTGAAAGTCAATCACGCAGGCTGCCGTTGGCAGAACCAAAGACTGTCCCCAACGAATGCTGTTCCTGTCACTGCTGCCCTTAGTCAAGGAAGGGAGCATATTGCTGGGGTTGTCTGTTCTTTTATTGAGCAAACAGACAGCTCCCCACTGCACAGCGCTGCACAGTCACACAGATCCTGCTTGCTGAATCTGTCATTCTTTAGAACTGCTGAGTGTGTGTTTAGGCACAGTGCTGGTCAAGACACCAGGCTATCCTCCAGAGACGAGATGTGAACAGCAAGTCTGTCCCTTGGGAGAATATTGCCACAGGGTTACTTTTACCTTAATCCAAAGTCCTTGCTGGATTCCGTGATCGGAATGGCCTTATGATTAACAGGCGTTATGGATGAAGAACAATCTGAAACACAGATACAGAAGGTGGCTGCCATGGGTTCCCCAGAAAATCAAAAGGGACCCAGGAGAGGGTTGTCGAGAGCCGTGCGGTCCCAGGGCAGCCCTCCCAGCTGGCCCTGAGCGCCGGCCTCCATCTGTCCCTTTGGTTATTACTGGCTCCACGTGCGCCAGGAGCAAAAGCTATCACGAGGTTACGAATCGGTGCCCGAGCTTAGAGGAAAATAAAAACTGGAATGTGACTCTTAGCCCTGTTTTTCTCGATTAGATAACACTCCCTGCGCGCTTGGTGAGTTATCACGCGTTTACACAGTCCAGACTTTGTTGTTTCATTTTTCCAAGAGCTGTTTGCTTTTTGCCCAGAATTGAGTCACTGGTTTCCTGACTACATAGACCACTGCTCTCTCCCAAGTCTATGTCACAGGCAGATACCAAAGCAGCTAGAATGTTGAACAGCTTATCCAAGGTCACCTGAAGGAGTTCCCTAAACAGTATTCTTAGCTTTGTGTAAAATTTTTAAAACAGGAGGTGGCCACATTTTAAAACGTCTTTCCAGGAGGTACAGGAAATTACGATCAATGGACAGAAGTTAAATAGATAGAACGAGCTAACAGCTAGGTCTGTTTCCCCTATCTGTAAAATGTATATAATAGTTCTTAGTGGATTTTCGTAGAAATTAGGAAAAATAATATGAACTACCTAATATGATGCCTGGCATCTCACTATTATCAGCCTAGATAAAAGATGCCCCAAATGGAAATATCTTCCCCTGAGAAGCACTGTCCTAAATCATCTCTGGTGAAGGCCCAGAGGGCTGTTATTTGCTTTTTTTTTTTCTGTTTCAATTCATCATGCAATGATATTTTTTAAAAATTCAACATAAAAGAGATGATTAGCGCAATAAAATTAACAAAGACATACAAAATACAATCAGGACTAAACATGGCCTTAGAAAATCTTCCAAAGACCATCCCTCTCCTGTTACAGATGGGGAGACGAAGTGACCTGCTCACAGTCCCACAGCAGATCAAGGGCAGTGCGGGGACAGGACTCAAGTCGTACTCCTGGGGCACGCGAGGTAGTTCCCAGGATAGCCCACGATCCTGGTCAACCTCTCCTTCTCACGCTTCTATCAATCAGAAGGGCAGAGCCACACCAGGGTGAGGCCCATGAGACATTTGCCCTGGGTGCAAATCTTAGGGAGTGCCAAAACCTCCAGTCGTCAAGATAAATACTATTTCGATATATTTTTTTATAGGCTAAGTTATGCTGTGGTAAATAATTATCAAAATCTCAGTGGCTCGACCCAACCCAAGTCCAGTGCAAGGTGAGTTGCCATCCGCCACCATGCCGTATGCCATTTGGAACATGTGACCTGCAAGATCATGGCAGCGGAGGAAAAAATGGAGGGGACATACCAACTCTTCACTGCTTGACCCAGAAGTAATACGTACTAATTCTACTCACATCTCATTGGCCAGAATTACATATTCCTATCCTACTGCCAGGGTCCTGGACACGTAGAGGATCACACAGATACTTGGTGATGATCAAGAGCCTCTGCTTTATTCTTGGGGTACGTGTGTGTGTGTGTGTGTGTGTGTGTGTGTGTGTGTGTACTTTATTTTATGCCAAAAAATCAGAAGTTTTTCATAAAGACAGACTCAGCAACAGTGCTGACCTGAGCAATACTGGAGCCTGAAGCAAAAGGCAAAATCAGTAATGCTTTCTTCATTTAAAATATTTATATTTTGTCCAGTAGAGATTTTACTGCATTACTTTTGAGAAGGAAGTCACAGATCAGGGCATTCAGATACAGTGGTGGGGGTCATTATATGGATGCTGTTGTTTAGGCGTGCCATACTTAGCTACTGGCTAAAATAACTGTGAGCTGCAAGGCAGCGGTGAAATGGGGTTCAGAGGGCACCCCAAAGCAAGACAATCACTGTGTCTCTCCATTCTAAGACTTCGCTGATTGGCAGATATATGACCAACTTATTAATCTTTCAGAAAGAAAAAAAAATGGCTCGTAAGCATCTTCTGGCACCGTCTATAAGAAACACCCCTATTTCAGAAATATTAGCATGTGGAACCAAAAAAATAAAATGGGGGGAGCTCTTAAAATGCAGGCGATATGGTGAAACGTTTTGATTTAGGATTCCCAGGCACAAAAATCTGCACTCTGACAAGATAAACTCAGAGAAAAAAATAATTTTTTAAATGAGTGACTGGGCACATTTACAGAAACCAGCTGATGAAAGTACATATCCTAACAACTACTGCACCGGCCCATCAACCAGGACAGGCCCCAGGCAAAGTGTTTAGTGTGTGAAATGACACAGTGCCTTCCTCTTTCTGAATCCACCCCCAGGGGACCCTTCCTGGCTCTTTCTGACTTCCCTGTCACCTGGCCCCATCTCTCTCTCCAGCCTCTTCCTTCAAAACCAGTTATCATCAAATCCGCAGCCCTGGCAAATTATCACTGTGACAGGGATTAAGGTTTTAAGCTAAAGAAATGAAACTTAAACGACAGTCGGGGAGTCATCGTGAGTGCGGCAGGGTGGGCTCCGTGGGCCCCTTAAAACTCCACGGCCCAGGCTCCAGGCCTGCCCCCTGCCACTCCTAAGCAGGATTTCCAGCATCTATGTGGAAGAAGGCGGGCTCCGGCTCCCCCACGCAGCTGGTGGGAAGGTCACCCAGACTGCAGGGGACTTCACACGAGATGATGGCACCTGGATTGGAAAGGGAAGCGGGAAAGATGGCTGAAACAAGGGACGCTGTGGCTGGGTGGGAGGCACCCCCTACGGGAGTCCCCGAAGCGGGCTGACTAACCCCTCTCGCTCAGAGAACGCCCAGCGAGCCACGTCCTCGCCGGCCCCCTGGCGTTCCCAGAGCGACCTGTGTCGCGTTTTCTCTGGGTGGCCTTCCCGCATTACCGATTACGGGGCGCAGCGGGGCTGACGTCAGCATCCAGGGCGTTCGGGTGGCTTTGGGGGCCACCGTCTTCAGAAGCGGACCCAGCATTCACTCGGCCTCTGCCGAGGCCAAGGTCTCGCCCTGCCGGCGGAGGGGCGGGGACAGCACCGCCG